TGTAAATCAGGTTAATGTTGTAAAAACATGTAATAAATTCATAGGCAGTGTCACACCTGCCATTCAATGTGACTTTTTGGGTTTATTTCTGTTGCATAGTACTTATTTTTTCCTTAAAACAGGCTGAAACTTCAACAATACCACTTTATTTTTGCTTTATTTTTGCCCAAATCTCTGTAATAACGTCGGTGCCAGTCATTAAACAATGCCGATCGCTGTCATATGTTCTTATTTGTACTGAAATGAGAGTTCACAGTCGAGCAGCCAAGCATGAATTCAGCTTAATGCACCTTACTGCTCATTTATTATCAGGCGTTTCATCTGGGGATGTTTTAATCAACCCCTGGATGGTATGATAACGTTTCACCTCAGGGGATGCCCGTGAAATGATTATTTTATCTGTCCGTGCCGTAAGAAAGTGGGACCTGTGGTTCTAATCTATTTTTTCTCTCTAATTAGAATGAATTAAAATTAAATTAGAGTTAATGGTAATAATTCTAAGAAATGACGGTTATTCGTCATTTTGCTGCAGACCTCAGTGTCGCCTGAACCTTTGACGACCAATCAATAATTAGCTGTTAATTGCCTTTTTGTATAATCTGATTTTGGCAGTAATCTTTCAACAAAAAAAAAAAAAACAAGCACAGATGAGATTCAAACGTCATTTTCTAATTACCATAATTACGTTGCTGTTCAATAATTAGCTGCATTCAATAACCATAAAAACCCTCCCGGGAGACTTTTTGCTTCTTTTAGGCGTCTGTCAGCTCATATTTCATCAGGTCTTAATGGACAATTTCAAAAAAATAAAAAAAACCAGACAAAAACAAGTCACAGAAAGAAAAAATGAAACTTTATTTGTTTTTATACTTACCAACACTTTGAAATTAAAACCTATGTAATTACTCACAACTAATATAGATCTGCACGTTGCAAATAAATCAATCCAAACAAAGTTCTATCACTTTTTTTTCCCCCCAAACTGCAATACACACAAACAAAAGCTGAAAAACAAAAAAAATCATGTTCTTTTTTTCCTGCTGTTGCTGCCACGTGGAAAGTGGGCAAATTTTTTAAAAAAGCCTTTTTTTTTTCTCCTATTTTTTTTTTTTTTTTTTAACACTGCTCTCCTACGCTAACGAGGAAATAACTGAATAAATAATTGCACATTGCACCCTATTATTGCATTAGTTGCAGTTTGTTTCAGTATACTCAGGCATATACACAAATGTAAATACAGTTTTTCGAAACACTGAGTAACACATGAATATTGATGTTATTGAAATCACACTGCCATCACTTACAAACTCAATATTCCTGCTTGGCAATCAAATTCATATTACACAACAAGATTTAATTTGTCAAATGCACGCTCCAGCTGCGCTAGAAACCATTAGCAAGTAAGCGAAAACATTTCAATGGTACACATGCACTGATAACCGTCATAGAAAAGCCTCAATACCCTCGAGGGTGTCCTTCGCCGTTACAGTTTGTGGGTAATTCAGAAAGAATGCCCTCTTCGGTATCTTAGCTAATTTGTTCTACGAAAAAAAAAAAAAAAAGACTTCAGCTCGTTCATTTGACAAACATTCCCATCGAAGTACAAGCTATGACAACTGAAAATGAAAAGAAACACAAATCCATAATTTCAATGCTAGCACTACTACTTGAGTTCACATCAAAATGTAAGAATTATTGCAGAATACTCTTTGACTATGCATCGCTCGGTATATTGATACAGCATTTGGTCCATTTACATAATCACATTTACGTCATGAAAGCGCGTAACAGACATTTTTGGAAAACATGCTCATTTGTTTTCTCTCAAAGATGTCGCTAAATAGAAAGCTGCAACCGATAGCTTAGCGTCAAGATGAGAAAGGAAGGGAAAGAGTACGCTAAACCAATTGCTAAAACCTCTGAAGTTTAAGAATAAGCATGTTGTGTCCAAAAACAGAAACATGTAAATTAAAAATTTGCATTTATTTTTTCACTTTAAGCCCCCAGAGAGTTTAACTTGCTGAGAGATGTCAGATAAATATCGAGGAGATGGTTAGTGTAGCTTAGCTTAGCTTAGCTTAGCTCCGACTGAAAATTGGAAAGTTGTTAATTGCACAAACTAGACATAACTCATAAAATAGAAATCTTAGGTGCTGGTTAGCTTAACAAAGCCAAGCTAGCTGTTTCCCCCCAGTTTGTGGAGATGCTAAGCTAAGCTAGCTGGGTGCTAATGGTAGCATCATATTTAGACCTGAAAGTAACATCAGGCTTTTCACTCCAGGGCTCGAGGTGCAACGATTAATTGATTAATTGCAAAATATTAAATTTGTAATATACAAATCGATTTAAGCAATTTTTTTAGTGAAACAGAGTCAAAAATGTCTGATAGTTGCTTCTTAGTTGTGCATTTTTTCCTCTTCTATGACAGTAAACTGAATGTCTTTAGGTTGTGGACAAAACAAAACAAGTATTTGACCTTTTTCTAAGATTATATAGAACAAATTTCTACACTGTAGAAATCCCCACTGTGGGATTTATAAAAGCTTATCATAAACTAAACTAAGCTAAGCGATAAATCGAGTAAATAATCAGCAGATTAATACAAATAATTAGTTGCAGTCATACGAAGAAAGCAAATAGGCATGTTTCCCAAAACGTCAAACTTTTCCATTAAAGGGGACCTATTTTGCTTTTCCTTATTTCTCGTCACATATATGATGATACGCTGTCAGATGTTTATATTAAACGTGGAAAAAGTTTCAAATAATGAGGCAAAAATACGCAAAAATAAAATCTCAGGCTTGAGGGGGCTCTAATGCTTTTTAACATTTTTTTCCTACTTTAACTCCACTTGTCTAAGATTTCATTTTATGATAGTCTGCGACAGCGAGCCAATAAAGTGCTGCTCACAAGCACTGGGTGAAGGCTTCCAAGAGCTGTCCAATCAGAACACAGTGGGCTTTTAGGGAGGGGGGGGCCTTAAAGAGACAGTAGCTAAAATTGCGTGTTTGGGGGGTTCCATAAATGGATCAGTACAGGATAAATAAGGATCTTCTGGAGTTGTATAACATAAAAAACTCCTCTAGTGGAGTTCCAGAATAAGAATAGAGTGCTGGAAATGAGCAGAATAGGTTCCCTTTGAGCTCAGCGTAGGCGACTGGCATTAAAACAAAAGAAAGTATGAAGAAATTGAGTCACTGTAAATGCAGAACGTCTCTGTGTTGGATCGTAGATAACGTGATTCGACAATAACATTCAACAGCTGTTTGTACGTGTCAACACTGAAGTGAGCTCAGCTGAAGCTCGGAAACGAGATGACCCAAGCTGTCCAATATACGTGGAGCATCCTCGCCAGCAGAAGATGCGATCGGTGGTTGAATTACTGAATCACACCAAATATCATCCACACCTCCCTCTCATATTAAATACAATACAACGAAACCAACTTAGCTTAAGTTAACCTAGCTCGATCGACAAACAGAAAGTCATGTGTGCACCACCACACCATAAATAAATACACGCTGGCTCTACTGGAAACCAGCGAAGCAGGAATTGTCATCCAACCTGTCCTTTTTTTTTTTTAAATAAAAAGTTGCTGACAATAAAAAGACATTCAAACCTAAAGCGTCAAATCAACCGCGTGACAACGAAAAGAACATGACAAGATGAACAATCGTGAAAAAGAGACTGAGTGGTCACGTCCGCCCAGGCCCCGTGGGTTCCCCCCAATGAACCCCTGAACATTCCTTGGCCCCAAAAATACCATTCGGCTTCGTCCAAACGCTGTTAAGATTCACCTTCTTTCCCTTGTTTTGTTTTTAAAGCCCCTCTCTCTCCGAAGCTTCTACCAGCAGCGCAGCGAATATTTCCCGAGACAAGGGAAGGAAGCCGAAAGGTTTGGACGCAACGCTTGGCTTTTAAGTCCAACTAATCCTCCCCAACAGAGGCAGTCCAGAGTAAAGTGTTGAATAGTCTATTGCATGAGCGCCGCGTAGTCGACTAATGTGCTAAGTCACAATAGTCCTTGTACAAAACAAATACAGTATAATAATAAGTTAGTAAACAATCATTTAAATTTCCAGTCAGTGTTTTAGCCACTGATGTTTCACTAATTCCCATTCATGCATCTATATACTAATAATCGGTGCTGATAGAAGGAGGCTATGTCGGAAAGTTTTTCGTCCGGGCAGGGAGTAGGACTCGACGTGAATGGCCAAAAATGCTGAGAAAAGTTTGCGGAAAAGAACAGGAGCACAAAGATATAATAATAACGCTTGAAGGAGCACGTGCACTGAAATACACAACGACACGACACTGAACACATGCAATATAAGCAATAATGTAAATACAGGAAATTAACATGAGAAGGGAGGCTCTAGGAGTGATACCATTGGCTTAAAAGGGTCATGTGATGCAGCATGGGTAGAGATTAGACAAAGATGCAAATTAGGACAAAAGCAGAACAGTCCAATTTTTTTTTTTTTTTTTCCGTTTCAAAATATTATTATCAAAATTTGATAATTTGGCTACATCCCACCACACACTCTGCCGATAGCATCACTGAGCAGCTGTTATATGCAAATAACTAAGTTCTACAAAAGTGTTCGATCTCGTACTAGTACGTTTTTATACTTTAAAATGATGTTCTATGACGCAGCACTGACAGAGAGAAAGAGAAAGCAATAGATAGAGAGAAAAAGAAGAAAGAAAGATTAACACAAGTTGTTCCTAATAAACATTCAACATGCTTTAACAGTTCGCTAAAAAATCTAATCAACAGAGAAATTCTTTTTGTAATGTTTTTTTTTTTTTTCTTTTTTAATTTAACGTGGCTCTCTGAAATGAAAGCGAGCGCCCGACCCTCCCTGATGGAACCAGGGTGGGAAGGCGTTCAGGGTTTTTTTTCGGAGAGCCAGAGCCAGAGTCCGAAGGGCTTCATCAGGGTTGTCTGCGGTGGTCAGTCGTTGGAAAGGGCCAAACGGAGGAGCCAGTCAGGGATTTCAGGATGTGGTCATGGAAGATGGGTCGTTCCACATGGCCGCCACGTCTCTGAACCTGAAGGAGGACGACGGTAAAAGATGCGATAAGCAGTTTAAACCTGCATTTTAACAAAAAAAACTTTTACAAACAACCCCCAACCTGCCGGTGGGTTGGAAAGACATGTTATCCTGAAAAAAACGAGCCAAAAGTGCTGCTCACACGCACTTGGTGGAGGCTTCCGGAAGCTGGCCAATCAGAATAAAGTGGGCTGTAGGGGAGGGGGTTCTTAAAGAGACAGTAGCTAAAACTGCATGCCAAGAGGGTTCCATTAATGGATCAGTATAGGATAAATCCATCTGAGCTGTAAAACATACAAAACTCATCCAGTGGAGTCCCAGAATATAAATACAACGCTAGAATAGATTCTCTTTAAGCTCAGCGTAGGCGACTGGCAAGAAAACAGAAGTTGTTGTGTGTATGAAGTAATTTAGTCACTGTAGTTGCAGAATGTTACAGCGGTTTTTAAGCCACTCATTAATGATGTGCACAAACAACTTCTGTGAAGTGTTAAACTACAAATATTCAATTGTGAAATCACAGAAAAAAGTACTATTTTCAGCTTAAGCTTTAAAAAATAGGGCAAAATTGCAAATAATCATTGAGAAGAACTGATGAAAGACAGCTACATACGTATTTGTGGCACATACAGTAACTGGCTTTCATAGTTTTTTCATTATTTTTCCTGCACTTTGCATATATATTCTCATTATATGAATACTGGAAAACTGTTTTATTTTGCAGACATATTGCAGGGATTTTAAAACAACGATGGTGGAAAGCAGCAAACAGCACAGAATCCCAAAAATGAACTCATACGGGAGGTTTCCAGCTCATTAAGAGCAGAAACAAGAACTTGACAAACTGAAAGCAGCTAATTGGACTCTCTGTCAGAGCTGTGGAATAAAACATGAACGTTTTCATGTTTCCTTCCTTCCTCGATGTGAGAGCGAATGACAAACACATGGTGGAGCCTGAAAACCGTTCAGCATTAATGTAGCGTTAGCGCTCCCTGACCTTGCATTGATGAGGTACTGGGCCAGGCTGATGTTGGCGGGGGTCCCTGTGATGGTGATCTGGCGCTCCGATGACCCTTCCATGGCGTTAGCAATTTTGATCTGCGCCCCAGACATCTGACGGATCTCGTTGATTTTGGTTCCCTGGCGTCCGATTATGCAGCCTATTAGCTGGGAAGAAAATGGGGGCGGGACTTAGACATTTGATGGATTCCCAGTGATGCATGTGAGTGCTGGACAGTGTTTAACTTTGATACTCCTTCAACAAGTCTTTTCCATTAAGGACATTCCCGTTACAGAGCTAAGTGCCTCTGGCTGCGGCACATCTCTGCAGTGGAGAAGGAGGCTGCAGTAGTTCATGTCACATCGTGTTACTGAAAACTTCAACAGCGAGCCAAGTTAACCAACTGAACCCCAAGCTCGGCGTTTTATTTGTCACATTTTTTTTGGGCTCATTTTTTAACCATAACATAAAGTCCTGCACGTCTATGGAAACAGAACAAGCTGGGCTAGATGTAGAGGGAACTCAGAGATGTGTCCTGTGCAGTTTGACACAGTTAGAATGACTGAAATCGTTTTTAAATGGGATTTTCTTTGGTTACTTATTGAAGGAAATTTGAAAAAGCCTGGAACCAACATGTACAAAGTATGTCCAAGTGTCCACAGCTGTTACCAAAAGCAAAAACAGTTTTAACGTACTTCCCTACTCATGTCCTGTAAACACATTCTGCAGTTCAGCTGAATCGTCCCATAACTGAACATTGAGTCACTAATGTCATCTCGATTGCAATTAGGAGCACGAAACTTTGTAGAATCAAAAGATTTCGATGAAATTTCATGATTTTAAGCTTATTTCTGGCTCATTTTTACAGATAACCACTGACGCTCACCCATGATGATTTCAAGGACTGTCAGGAATCATAAAATGCACATATTTTCTCTGTTTTTAGTTTCTACCTGTGATGAATGTTGTCATTTTGGCAGTTTGATAAAACCCCAACAGGTTTTTGGGTGCAGCAATACAAATTACAGTTAGCATGCCATAAATCATCCAAAATACATGTTTAAAAAAAAAGATTTTTATACAAAATCACAATTTCAAGCTAAGATTTGTTAAGTTTCAAGGACCGTATGTATGGCTTCTAGTTGATAAATCATTCTGAACATTTTTAAAACAGATAATTACTTTCAAAGCTGCGAGTTTTGAGGTTTAGACGGTTAAAAGTTAATAATATATTGCTTTATTTTTGTTTCAGTTAGCAGTTGTGTAGCAGATACACAGATTTAATTCATGATTTAGACGCTCAGTTAAGAATTCATTAGTATAATAGATCTGAAGACAGCCTTTAACACTCATGTAGGAGCTGGTTAATGCGATAACTATGTCACACTAACCGTTATGGATTTTTGGAAAGCTCTGATGCATTGTCTTAATGGAGACTCTGTGGAGGGGAGCTGCAGCTTTACATTATTGGCAGCAGCAGCAGCAGCAAGTGGCCACAAACTGCTGAATAAGTGCGACTGGTAATAACAGAAGACTCACAGCGTTTCTGTCCACCGTGTTGTTGCTGAAGCCTGATATTATACATAAACTGTCAGCTTCGAGTGAAAAATGTCTCGCTTTGAATCACTCTTGGTTGCAAGTTTGGGGAGAGGAGAAATGAAAATGCACTGATGACAAATGTACTCACATCATTGGGAATGGTGAGTTCATGAGTACTGGCCTGGTTACTGGCATCCAGACCTGCTGCTGAACACAGGAAGCAGACAGAGGAGGGAAGGAAGAGACACAAGATTGATGGACTGTAGTCCTGGAGTGTTTTGGTTCTCTATCTATTGACCAGTAGCCAGTCTGTGATACTGGAAAGTGTGACTCAGCCCTCAGCAGAGCCTGAATACATGATGGAGAACAGCTTTCAGTGGAGTCATCCCATGAAAAATCAATCTGTTCCTCCCCCTGGACCTCCTCACAATCAGCAGGTTTTTTTAATCTATAATAACTTCAGTGTATTTAATGAAAACATGCAAAGTTTTACCTTCATAATATGAATATGTGTAGCGATACAGACTTTGAAGTACATAGAGGTGCGTCCAAATTTTGCGTTTTTAATTAGTTTTTCTATTATTTCTGAGCCTCATATCTTCATAAATACAGAAGATAGATGCATGAAAATTTCAGGTCTTAAAAACACATTTGAGTTCTGTTAAAAACCTTTGACACAGATGAAAAAAATGCTGGAATATGAAGGTAAAATTAATCTTTCATTGTCCAGAACTTGTTCTGACCAACCACCATCACACACACGCTGATATGAGCCTTGAGAGTTTTAAAGTTTTCTCTGGTGAATTATCAGAAAACACATCCGGGTACCAGTGATTTCTGTGTCATAGACATTAAACTGCTGCCGTTTTGCTGTTTAAACCACAATATATCCCATAACACTGATTCCAAGTTATTTGGTTCATTTGTTACTCATTCCTGTTTAGAAAAATCATGGATGGGTTTATCAGTTTGGTCAAGTTTCAAGGTTTTTTTGGACAAATAATAAAGCATTCTGGTAAACTTTTTTGAGTTATTGTGGACACTTTTATTCTCATTTTGGAAAAGCTTTGATGCATTTTGGAGTTTTAGAATAAAATAATTCATTTTGGGCAGATTTTTGGACCTTTGGAAAGGTTTCGAGGCAATTTGGAAAAGTTTGAGGGTATCCTGGACAATTTTTAAGTAATTTTTATGAAATATTTTCAAGAATTTTTGAGTAGTTTGGTCAAACTGAAGCATCGAGGGTGCCAAAGCTTGTTTCTATGACTCTGTGTCATAGACATTAAACTGCTGCAGGTATAAAATATCTCATGATACTGATGCTTGTAGTTGGTCACTAAAAGAATGAACAAAATCTAGAATTAGTCTTCAGATTGTAACACGTGGATGTAAAATTCAGTTTTTATCAGAACTCAAAAGCGTTTTTCAGGCCTTTCGTGTATTTTTCTGCATATTTTTAAGGTTATGAGGCTCAGAAATGCTGGAAAAATAAATTAAAACGTGCGACATTTCCACCTACTTCAAGGGCCTGTAACTAACATGAAGGTAAAAATGTCTTCACTAAATATACTGAAGTTATTGCACACTAAAAAAAATCTGCTGATTGTGAGGAGGTCAGATTTTATTGATTTCATATGGAATGTGAATTCTCCAAATGAAAAAAAAATTATAAAAAATCTGAAGAAGTCCCATTGTTAAAAATAAATAAATAAAAAAAGGTACTTTGGGAAAAGCAAAATAGAAGAAAAGAAACCTCAACATCAACAAGAGCAGACCACCAGCAGGCCATGTCAATGGCAGAGCACCACAGAGACCAGTAGGAGGAGAACGACGAGAAGAAGAAGAAGAGAAGAAGGACAGAGACAGGAGAAGAAGAAGAAGAGAGAATGTGTTTGTCTCTACAGGATAAAAACGAGAGAAGGATCTTTGGTGAAGAGGGTCATCGTGTAGGTGGGTACGTACCGGGGAAGGCAGGGGTGGTCTGTCCGAGGGGGGTAAAGGGGGTTTGCTGCATAGCCAACTGGTGGAGCTTGCTCAACTGCTGAGGGGGGGAGGAGGAGGACAGCAGAGCTATGAGGTCATCGTTAAAAACACACTCAGGCGCGCGCACACACACACAGCCCAAACACACACTCAGACACACACACACTCAGACACGCACAAACACACACTGAGGTCTGTCCGAAACGCTAAAGAGGATCTGAGGAAAGTAACAACACAGACAGGTGAAGGACCGAGAGAGTAAAGACAGCAGAGAGAAGAAGCTCATGAAGGACTTGGCCTGAGATCGCAGCAGCTTCATGCATGTGTAAGCCCCGCCTCATATGCATAAGCCCCGCCCACATGCACCAAGAAGCGCGTATGCATGTATAAGCTCCGCCCACATGTATCGGTGAGATGGACTGCTGCAGTTCTAAGACTCAGCGCCTGAGTTTAGACCAAAACGCTGAAGCTTTAGAACCAAATGATGCAGTTCCACGATAAAATGCTTGCATTTATAGATTAGAAACGTAATCTTGCAGCTCTGAAGCAGAACCCGACAACTCTAGAACGGCATGATGCAGTTCTAGGGTAGAATGTTGTGGTTCTAAAACACAACGCTGCAGCTTTAGACTGGAACGCTGCAGTTCTCTACTAGAACACTACCGTTGTTGGTTGTTGTTAAGGAATGTAAAACTACAGTTCTAGGGTGAGAAGTTCCATTTTTAGAACGGAACCCTGCAGCTCTTGGATGGAACGATGCAGTTCTAGAACTTAACGCTGCAATTCCGCAACAAACTACTGCAGTTCTGGGATGAAACGTTTCAGGCCAAGAATGGAACGATGCAGTTCTAGTGTGGAACGCAGTTTTAGAACGGAACACTGCAAGTCTTGGAGAGTTCTATAATGGAACGCTTTAGTTCTGGACCAGAACGCTGCAGCTCTAGAATGGCGTGTTGCAGTTCTAGGGTAGAATGTTGTGGTTCTAAAACACAACGTTGCAGCTTTAAACTAGAACGCTGCAGTTCGCTAGCAGAACTCTACCGTTCTAGGATGAGAGGTTGTGGCTGAGGAATGGAAAACTACAGTTCTAGGTTGAGAAGTTCCATTGTTAGAACGGAACCCTGCAGCTCTTGGATGGAACGATGCAGTTCTAGACCATAGACTGTATAAAAGATGGACGTAGCTACCGTGACGTCACCCGTTGGTTTCTGCACTGAGAAAATGAAGCCAGGGTTTTGCTACTTCCTGGTTGACATCTTGGATTTTTGGAGCCAGTGACGCAAAAATCGTCAGAGGGGGGCGGAGCCATAGGAGCAGCGATTGGTTAGACGGATTGAGAGGCAGGCCCTCTCTGCCCGCCCACATTTACCGCCTTCTGCTCGCTTCGTCTGCATCGTCGCTGCCGACTGTCAATCAAGCCAGCCACGCCCCTTGACCCGCAAAATGTTGACGATTTTTTAAAAATTCAGTATTGATTTATTTTCAGATTGGCCACCTGATCTCTGGACTTGACCATGAAAACTAATAAGAAAAAAATCCTGAGCTGGAGGAATGCAGTATTTCGTGATCTGTGATCACTTCTTTTCCAATTCAAGTCTATGGGAGCCAGGGCTTTTTGGAGCCAGCAGCTTGCGGACGTAGGTTTTTGACCCTTCCGGGTTGGCTTCATTTGTCAGGGCCGGTTGCTACGTCCATCTTTTATACAGTCTATGTTCTACACCAGAATGATGCAGTTCTAGTGCGAAACGCTGCAAGTCTTGGACAGAGTGATGTACTTCTATAATGGAACGCTTCAGTTCTGGAACCGGGACGCTGCAGCTCTAGGATGGAATGATGCAGTATCAAAACGAAAAGCTGAAGTCATCGAGTGTAACACTGCAGCTTGAGAACCCAACATTGCAACTCTAAAACACAACGCTGCAGCTCTAAATCCAAATGCTGCAGTTCTTGGATGGAGAACAACTCCTCCAGGATGGAACGTTGCAGGTCCAGTATGGAACTCTGCAGCTGTAGAACGGAATGAGGCGGTTCTGTAATAGGACGCCACTGTTCTACAGGGAATGCTGTAGTTCAAGAACAGAATGCAGCAGTTCTGGAACCACGTCCCTAGAGCCAACAACAACGGGCCAGATATGCTGATGCCGCCCTGCTGCATTGTGGGAAAATACTCGGCTACACAGTGGCTGTTTGAGGAAATCCCTCCAACAATGAGACAGTATTTGCCGCCGAATCTTCTTCAGGCCAAGCCCCATGAGGCTTAACAGAGGAGGGGAGAATCAGAACAGTTAGAAGATATAGGAATTACATATCAGAAACAAAGCTGTATTAATATTAACAATTAATATTAATAAGGGCGGAAAGAAAGAAAGTGAGAAGAGGCTGCGAGTCAGAGCGAGAAAGAGAGGATGGTGGAGAGCAGCGTTGACTGCTGCCGGGGTGAGAACTCACATCTGGATGCGGGATGGCGTACTGTCCTTGAATGGTATAAGCCTGCGAACACGAGGAGAAGAGCTCGTCGTTATTGTGTCACACGAGCAAAACCGAAGCACAGAAACAGTTGCGTGGTTGCTTTAAATGTAACAGTAGCTGCGTTCAGTCAAGCCGAAACTGGCAAAGTTCAAGAAAAACGATTTCTACATCTCTAGCATTGTATACACTCATATTTTTTCATCTTTTGAGCTCTATTTGTAGCCATGTTACATAGAAGTCATGCACTATAGATTCCCTGTCATGTTCTCAGTCTATTCATCAATCAGATCCAGTTGAACTAAATCAATAAGGGACAAGTCAGACAGTGGGGAGGTGACTGGGAGGGTTCAGAGGAAGCCAGAGGAGTCTCGTCCTATTGGATGTGTGGTTTATAGGGGCCACGGGGGTCAGAACTGAGCTAAATTTCATTTGATCTCAGCCAAGACAGTAACAAAAGCTCAACTGTAAGAAGAAGTGAAGCACATCAAAGCTCAACCACCAGATTCGGTTATTTTAGAATCTTTTCCAGTATGGTTCCTTATTAAAATGTAAAAAGGTGCATCTGTTTCTGTGTGTTTTAGTCCAACCCAGTAGTTTTCCTGTTGACTGATTCATATAGTCTGGATTAATAACAATAAATAAATCAGAAACATCATCTGCAACTACTTTAATAATTAATTAGTGGACGATTAAATTATCTTTAATAATGCCAAACATACACCCGCTCTCGTTAATCATTATCAGGTACAGTGAACTTAATATTTTGAAAGTTTAGACACATTTCTGTTTTTTTAAGGGGAACTATAAGGGGGAATATTTTTTGCCTTAAATACGCCTGATTGATTTTGCCAGTTAACATCAAAGCAGTTTCTTTGATCCTGTCACATTTTCACTCACGATTGGCTCATTTTTCACTTCAATATATGACTAGGCGGCGAGAGAAGGTCTCTTGTGTAGTCGGATGACAAAAAAAAATAAAGAAAAGTTAAATTTCTTTATGTAGTTATGGTACAAAAAATTGAGCCTCATTGACGTGTCGTTCCTCTCCTGTCCACTAGTTGGCCTCGTCAGGTTTTCCTGAGGCCACAGGAGGGAATCCACTCAACACACCTGCTCAGAGTTACCTGTTCTTTAGGTGAAGGTGTTTAACAGGAAACCCAAACGAGTGTTTCTTTCTTGGTAAGTTTGAATCATTGAAATCTGTCGTTTATGTCGATTTAATGTCGTTACTGTGAAGTCGTGTAGGTCTGAGAGCAGGTTTGTCTGTAAGTTTGACATTTCGTGAATTAAAGTCAGTTATTTTTTTTTCCTTGCTGTCTGTTCAGGTTTCACACGGAGCATCATGAATGAGGAGCGCTGCCTCGCTTCTCATCAATTAAAAGGTAAGTTGGCCAGTTTCCCAACCAAACCCGGAGAGTTAACTGGAGTCGACACCAGACTTCATTTCTGCCTTAATGCCATTTATCTCAGTTCTGGTTCGGGTGGCTGGAGGTGACAGTAAACAGCAGTGATGGTTTCATGCTCGTCGAGGGGGGGGTGAGGAGGGTGAGGAGGGGGGGAGGACGAGTGAGTAAAACCTGGTGCGACACTAACAGGCAGTGGCTGGTGCTGCAGTAAGAGGCTGAGGTTGGCTGTGGACGCCCCCAGTGGGTCTGCTCTTACCTGGCCACCTGAAAAAATGACAGGGGTGGAGGCAGGCTTGGGGCGGTAGGGGATGGTGGCACCTTTCGGTGGGGACTGAGGAGAGCAAAGGGGGGGGAGGGGGGAGAGTGGAGGGCAGAAGAAGAAGGGGGGTGAGATGTGGAGAGAGTGTTAGAGCGGGAAAACAGAAAGAAAAGAGTCGACAGAGAAAGAAAGAAGTCGCATCGAGTGAGGCCAGAAGGGACGGTGCCTGAGGGAAGACAACCTGTGACACAAAGTGCTCTTCACTGTGCGTTCATGCCGACAGGAAACGTCCAAATCGTGGTTCAGTGCACAACTAAACTTTACCTGAAACATCACTTTCAACTGGATAATGATGACGCTACCTACAGTGTGTTTGCAAGGTGTTTGACTCTAGAGACTTACAGTCATGTCACAAATGTCCAGGCCGGTGCCATCGTGAAGGCCCGATGGAGAACTGGCTGCGCAGACAGTTAGAATTAATGATGCAAGAAAATAGAAAGACACCCAAATAGTGCAGCGCTTTGATCCGAAGTAGAGTTCTGACTTTGACATGTTACAGTTTCTGCAGCATCGGAGCAGCAAAGAGGGTCAAAAACAGCAAATGAATCACGTCAAGGGTGAAAATCTGACTTCCTGCTTCAGGAACTTTGCACTGAAAGCATTTCAGCTTTGACATTTAAATGCAGTTTATAGTTTCTGCAGCATCAGAGCAGCAAAAACGGTCAAAAACAGCAGATCAGTCACTTCAAGGGTTGATGAATTGGTGTGAAAATGTGCAGACGTGTCGAGCAGGAAGGCCTCAGTGTTTCCACAACTATGAAACCAGTTATAAAAACGTTTCACTGATATTTATGTTCCTTAGATCCCAAGTTTTGAGAGAAAATAAAGAAACATTAAAGCAGACCAACAAGTCAACGTCTTTAGTGCTTCATCAGCGTCTGTTTGAGGGTAAACTGGGTCTGTAGAACATTTGCACTCATTGGAATCGGAAGGAAAAAACATATCCTATGTGTTGATGTGTTTTCTGGAACGTAACCTGCCCCAGAACAGCTCAAGAGTCAAAGCTCAAGTTACTTCAATAAGCTCAAGTTACCTCAATAAGCTCAAGTTACTTCAATAAGCTCAAGTTACTTCAATAAGCTCAAGTTAC